CTTTTCAAAGACAATCGGTTGAATAATTTTGCATCTGTTTGCAAGCATTCACACACAGGTGAGTGTATACGTTGAGTTGGGGGCGTGGCCAGAAGCGTAAAGGACTTAAAGTGACAAAAGACCAGAAACCACCTGCTGCATTTGTTTCTTGTGCAGGAGGCTCCACTTCTCCTTTTCAAAGACAAACGATTGAATAAAACAGCTCAAAACAGGCAGAACTGAGCAGACTGAAATCTCATCTAAGAATTATTTTGTGCCAAAAAAATTTAATGAACTTGTTTTGAATTTCCCACAGACATCTAAGAGGTCACCTTTAACAGAAGATGATTTAGGATGAGAAAAATAATCTGCACTGGTTTCCAGTGAGAATGTGTGTTTCCACTTACGGCCTAACGAGATTCTGATTTCGCTCCATTTTTCCTTCTCTGACAGAAACTGCTGTCCGACCTCTTTGTTTTTCTTTCTCACGAGAATGGCTTGGCCGTTCCCCAGTAATGTAGACTTCCTCTGACTTTAAAGACCGCCACAACTCTGTTCCTCCCCCCACTCGGCTGCGGAGTGACGGACCACACATTGAGCAGGTGAAGGCTGTTTTTCCTCTGCTGCACAGGCTAGCATCTTGCATCCCAGCTGGGCAAACAGCCATGCAGACGTTTGGTCTTGTGAAAAACACAGAAGCATCCTCCTCCTCCTCCCCCCCACCTTGCCATGTCAGCCTTGACTGCAGACCAAAGCCACAGCTGACTGGCCTTGGGACAAGGGAGGCAGGAAGGGGCCTCTTCCCTTCACGGAGCCCCAGGAGCACAAAATATTGTTTAGGAGATATTTTACGTTTACTTCTGCTTTTCTCAGAAGTCTGAGTCAGGATTGAAAAGAAACAAAATGCAATTTCTGCATAAAGGGGCAGTAGTATGTGTTTTCCAGCCACAAAGTGCCATTTTATAGCAATTCTGTTATCCAGACATGAGTTAAATGAGATTTAACCTCTGTAACTTTTTACATATTTGTTAAAACTAATATCTAAATATTAGTTGTGATACTTTAACATGAGACGGATAATCAGAAAAAATCTATTTCTTCTTCATCCTGTTGTCCTACTGCCACCTGCAGAAATACAACATTCTTTGTCAGAAACAACCAATCAGAACCAGGGGGAGGGTCCTATGTCTGTCAGTCACCCTTGTGTATGCGTTGCTCACATTCTCCCCCTGTCTTTCTGTTATGCTAAAGCTTCTTCCTAAATGCTAAGGCTAGTTAGCATAGCCACTGATGATGATAGAGAAAATAAGATTTTACAGTTTTTAGTTTTGCCTCATGTTTTTTTTTTTTTAATTAAAACTTTATTATTCTGCCTTGTTTTTACTTTTTTACATTCAGTAAATTCTGGAGCAGGAGTTTGAGTCCAGCTTGTGGAGGATTTGGCAGAGGAGTATTTTTTACAGCGTGCTGGTTGAAGCGTGGCTCACAGCGGTCCGGTTTGGGTATTTAAAAACCACAGGACAACACACGGTCTGGCTGTTTCCCCCTCTGGTGAAACTGAGCGCAGGTCCGTGTCAGGCAGCGTTTGCACAGTCCTGGCTGAGCTGACCTGCAAAGAGCCAGATGAGGATCAGGGCTTAAGCACCGCAGAGGCCTTCTGCAAACAACATGTGGAAAGGCTTTGGTGGCTAATGTAGCGTGGAGTATTTATATACTGAGCAAAGACCTGACCACTGTCCGTCAGGATCCAGGCAGCAGTTAGGCTGCGTTCAGCTCTGACCTCTGCAGTGATTTCCTCTGGAGCACCTTGTCCTGCCAGTCCGCTGCCCCGACGGGACGCACAGGCTGCTCCAGGGTCAGCTGATTAGTGTACAGTAGCTCAAACCAACAATCCTCCCACAGCAGGGGGTCTCTGTCATTGTTTTCCAGCTGAGGCCAAGGAACAGGAGGAACATGCTTTAACCCATATATGGACTTAAAGGTGATCTGTTATGACCTTGGACCGGTTACGATACGTCTATGGTCTACAGAAAACATGTTCATTACTTTTTTTTGCTCAAAATTATTAGATAATGAGATTTTACTAGTTTGACGTGTTTTCACTTTAAATGCAACTGAGCTGCTCCTGGCCACGTCCCACCCCAACTCAACGATTACACTCGCATGTGAAAAAGGCTGCAAACAGATGCGCAATTATACAACTGTACATATTTGAAAAGCAGAAGTAGAGCCTCCTGCACAATCAAAAAGAATGCCCACTGCAAAAATGCAGAATCTTACCAAATATTTTTGTTTAGTTTCTAGTCCAAATAATGTAGTGCAATTCAAATAAGACAAAACTTATTTTACTGGGAAAATGTTGTGTTATAAATTATGTAACCAAAGGAACTTGTACTTTTTAATCAATATTAAGGAATTATTGGCTTAAAACAAGCCCCTATGTCTTTCTGAAAAGTTACTTGTCAGTTAGTTTTGTCTTATTTCAAGTGTAATAAGATATTTGCACTAGAAACTATACCAGAACAACTTGGTGAGATTTTGTGTTTTTACAGTGGAGCAAGTGGTTTCTGGATGATAAGTCAATAACTGTACAACTCTTGTGTTTTCCAGCCCCCAATGTACAGTGGTAAAACCAGCTGACCAAACGTGCAGGAGTTCAGCTTAGGTTGCAACGTAACGGGGCAGTCATACTTTGCAGTTAATTTAACTGTTGTTTTGAAAGTTTTACCACTAACTTTTTAGTGTTCAGTAGCAGCTAGTGCTCTTCTTAGCTACAGTTAGCATCGCTTTAGCTAAGAGCCTTTAGCTTTAGCTGGTTTGTTTTTGTTTTATGGGGTTAAAGATATGTTTTAAAGTCTAAAAACTACTGAATACTTTCAATGATTCACTTTAACTTCCATCACAGATGGATGGATAAAGTAAAAAAACAGCTTTAAATGCATTTTATTTCTACAGTCAGCTGACTAATTTGACTGTCACTTCTTCTATTCAAGCTATTAATGCTGCGGCTTTCTGTTATTATCCAATTTATCCCCACATTGTGATGTTGACAAGCTAATTGTTGAGATGTTTCCATGAAACCAGAAAAAAAAGCATTCACCAGTGTTTTGGTAAAATTACTGTTGAGTTTCCCAGTGGCGTAATGGGAATGTCAAACATAGTTTAACTCCTTCGTGTTCTTGGTACGACACATTTGGTGAGTAATTCACAAGCACGCTTCTGAATTGGAAATATACATATAATTCTGGTTGGCAGGCTGTTTATTCAAATTGCAGATGTAGAAAGCGTGACGATACAGCAGAGTTTGTCCATGAGATCTATGGTTCTGCAGGTTAAAACGGCTCATGAGATGTTGATTTAAGACATTTCAGAATAAAATAATACTTTATTTTAATCATCTAAACAAGCTAAAGTTCTGGGAGGCTGTTTACCATTGAGATCAACTTTTCCTGACCATGAAATTTCAAAGAGTGCCTTCTTCCAGACATTCTCCTTGCATTTTCCTTCGAGTGTTTGAAGTGACAGCGCTGGAATCCACAGTTGTTTTGAAATTGTTCCAAGAGACATTCCTGGCTGTGCGGCAAAGGCTTGGGAAAATTATCCTCTTTGTGCGATCTGAACTGAGCTCATTAGATTGCCCTATTTTAAGCTGTGTTGATCAGGCAAAAGGGTCCTGTCTGAAAAACCATTTATGTTGGAAACAAATTAAATCTTTGACTAATTGAATATGGCTGCATACAGTGTTACTTTTTCATTCATATATCTGTTATTTTTAAAGATTTACCACTAACCTTTTAGACACTTTGCGTTTTGGCAGTAACGATAATAAATCCTTAGATTTACACCATAAAATTTAAAGGTGAACATTTAGTGAAGATATGAAGACTGGTTCAATCCGGTGTGCTAATCTGAAAGCTAACATTTTTAATGCTGAGTTTTCTACCAACAGCTAACAACAGAGTTTGTTTTTAGGTTATAATTAGAATTCATCATTAAACAAAAGAAAATGCTGTGTCATTTTCTTAAGTTTGCCATTTGTTCCACTTCGCCCTCTTAAGGTTAAATGGAAGCTACGTTTCATGCTATGCTATGCTATGCTAAGTATTGACCAAATACGTCACTTAATCATTTAAGGCGCCATGATGGACGTCGGGAGTGAAGATCGGGAGTATTGAACTGAGCTTCTGAAGTTGTTTTTGTCGGTTTATTTATTCATGGCTTCTACATGTTCCAGTCATTTTATTTTGCCTTTGAACGTAACACACCTGGTTGGGGCTCATAGACGGCGGTACAGAAGCTAGAAACAGCTAGCTTAGAAACCGACCCGTTCCTCCTGACGTGTTCATCAAATTATCAACTTTGCCTGAATTCACACCACATTATTTATATCACTGTCATAAACGGCATTTCCCTTTGGGCCAGAGGAGCATTAAAAAGGTTAAAAAACCCAGATGCTAACCAGGTTTTTTTATGCGTTTGTTTTTCATGTTAGGCTGCATGACGGTACGGCATTGTATTAACAATTAGACGCACAACTTCTCCATAATGCGATATTTAATATCTTTCTAATCAAACTTACTTATAAAGTATATGAACGTTAGTCTAATTACCTTGTGGAAAGTGTTCGCTGCAGATCCGTGATTACACCGAGAGCTGCCAGTCATGATGATTGACGGCTGCTGATACCCATCGCGTTTCTTTCCTCTTTAAAAATTACACAATAAAATGACAAGTTTGGTTTTCACTCTTGTCTGTTTGTGCAGCCGACCGCGCAGCACCCTACGACCATTTTTTATTGCGAAATCAACAACATAGAAGCGGTATTAGGTTACCAGATGACTTCGACAGGGTTTAAAGGAGTGCATCGTCATGGCGGAGCGGGACGAGTTTCGAAGAGAGTGACGTCACGTACAAAGGGTGAGTAGCTAACAGCTATTTTTTAAATAAACAATATAAGGTGACAATTAAAATCCATTTATTTTATAAAAAAATAAATATCCAATAATAAAAATTTAGGAGATTGAATAGGATCAGGTTCAGTGTGTCACGTGAAGCTTTTAAAACATTTTATTACAGTTCAGGGTAAGCTAATGCTACTAGAAGCTACTGCTAGCACAACTAGTGACAAAAGGCTAAAAACAATACTGCATTGTTGTATCATAACATTATAATGGAGGAGATTAAAACATAAGCATCTAGGGTGATTTGACGTTAAAATGTTTTATTATTAAAGGTTTTACTGTTTTGAGGTTAAATGTAAGCTAGCTGTTTCAATAGCATTGATTTTAGAGGAAAATGTTCTGTCATAGTTCTTTTTTCATCAAATTACTCAAAAACAAATGTTTTAAATTTGATTTTTGCCAAGAGAAAAGCAAACTTAAACTTAAAATGATTATGTTTGTCTTAGCTATTCCTTCCAGGTGATGGCAGATTTTGCACAGATCGGTGTAGAAATAGAATAAAAGCAAATCATCACAAATGAATGACATGAAGGCACTCTGGGATGTTGCACAAGCTGTTTTCCACAGAGTTGAACCACAGCCACTGTCAGCAGTGTACAAAACATCCATTCACACTTACAGTGGCCGCAGAAACAAACACTTACAAAGATAAACATAAGCATCTAAGATAAACGATCCACAGGTCGGCATCAAGGCTTCACAAAGCAACCCACATCTGTGTTTCACTCATGTTGGTTTCTCCATTTGCAAGGTAAAGACATTAAAGCATTAGATTTTTTTCAAAAACAAGCCTGAACCCGGAGTGCTTTCCCCATCTGGAAGCAGTAGAGGGCTTGTCTAAAAGATAAAAATGATATGAACGGCTGCTGGCAACTCAAATGTCCAGTCTGGGATCAATTACATAGACAGGACTGAGAGAAAGAGGAGGAAGTACAGATTCTATATCGACCACAAACACCCACACAAACTTTAAAAAAATTAAAAAAAAACTGGTGCCTGATGCGATGCTGGTGCTCCGTTCCTGGTGTCTGGTTATGGATTGGCTGGGACCGCATGCTGCCACATTCCCACCCGACTCGCACTCGGCGTTTAACAAGCGACTGATGGCGGTTCCAGATGAGGCCGCCGTCGGCCAGCTGCTCTGGAGGGATTTCTGCAGGGATCAATAGGATAAACTGGCTGTCTATTATCCAGGTCAGATTTACACTGCAGCAAAGACAGAGTTATACTTACTGCAAAAACAGAAAATATCACAATGAGTTTTTGATCTAGTTTCTTCTCCAAATATCTCAGTTCACTTGAAATAAGACAAAACTAACTTAAAAGTTGCTGTCCATCCAGACATATTAGCTTGTTTTAAGTAAATACTTCCTTAATATCAATTTTAGAAAAAAAAATACTAGTTTTGATTAGATTGGATTTGACTTGATATTGTCAAGTGTGAAACACATAATACACTGCAAAAACACAAATCTTACCTGGTATTTTTGTCTAGTTTTAGTGCAAATATCTCAGTACCCTTGAAATAAGACAAAACTAACTTACAAGTATTTTTTTCAATTTTAGAAAAAAAATACTAGTTTTGAATAGATTGGATTTGACTTGATTATTTTTTACAGTGTTAAGCACATTATTCACTGCAAAAACACAAAATCTTACTAGGTATTTTTGTTTAGTTTCTAGTCAAAATATTTCTTCCACTTGAAATAAGACAAAAAGCTCAGTATTAAAGACTTATTTACTTTAAAAAACGCTCCTTTTATCTTGCTGAAAAGTTTCTTGTAAGTTAGTTTTGTCTTATTTCAAGTTTACTGAAACATTTACACTAAAACTAGACAAAAACACCTGGCATGATTTTGTGTTTTTGCAGTGCACCCTATATTTATATTTGGTGTCTACATATTTTGAGCATTTCTGCACCACTAGACACATCTGCCTTGCAGTCGTAACGAAATGCATCATGGGACGTTTAAGGCCCAGAAGGAGGAGGGTCAGGCTGGAATGAATATGAATAAAGTAAAAACAGACAGGCCGACCAGGAGGGGCGAGAGTGGGACCGAGACAAAGGAATTTAATAAGATCCAGACCTCTTTGAGCTCTCACTGTTTTAAAAGACGACTCTGCCGTACAGCTACGCTCTCCGTCTCACTGCGAGACCCGAGCTGGCGGCCGCAGCTTTGTAAAAGGTCAAAACGACACCTCCAGAGCTCATAACCAATTCATAAATGGAGCTGGACTTCACCTCAAGTGGCCCCAGTAAACTTCACAGACAGGGCCTGCTCTGTCTGCCCAGAGAAAAGGGTTATGTTTTCTCATGTGGACACTATTTTCACCAGATTGTTATGATGTGAAATTAGAAATTACACCTAAAAACGACCTAAAGGTTTAATTTGTTGTAAGAAAATGTAGAAAAATACCTATGAAATGGCTTTTCATGCCCAAAAGTGTATCGATTTTTCATTTGTAGTAAAAAATCAGTTCGTTGATCGTCTCAGTCCTGTAGACCGTCTGTGGAGCTACATTGGGGCCATGAAGGTTGTTCAAAAGGGAAAAAATTGAAAGTGTAAAAAAAAATTGAATCTGAAAAAAAAAGATTTGAAACTGAAAAAAATATTTGAAAGATAAAATTGTAGAATCTGGAAAAAATGTTTAACTGAAAATATATATATTTGAAACTGGAAAAAAAAGTTACCTAAAAAAATTTAATTTAAGCTGATAAAAGTTTTGAGACTGAAGAAAATTTAAACTGGAAAGAAATTTGAAACTAAAGAGAAAAGATTTGAATCTGAAAAACAAGTTTTAAACTGAAAATAATAAACTGAAACATAATAACTTGAATTTAATTCAAATCGTTTTTCTTTCCTTTTTTTTTATTAATCAAACTTTATGGCCCTAGTTTAGTTCCAGAGCTGACTTCACACACCCAGGTTCTCTGGTTTTATCAGGGCTGCTTCTGGTTGACAGAAGAATTGGCAGAAAAACGGGAGGAGCTGTCAGTTAGTTGTTGCCATGGCAACTGTCAAGAGCAGCGTAACAGAGCTTACCAATAAATACCAGAAAACTTTTTGACAAAGTGAAATGAATTTGAAGAATAAATAAAGACTTTTTAACAACTTTACATCTATAATTTTGTAAACACAAAACCCTGTTGTCTTAGCTTTTGGGGTTTTCAGTTGCAAACAAGACAAAGTAAAAGACTTTTTACCATGGTATAGTTTAAATAATCTACTGGTAGTACTTTTTCATCATTATTAAGGAATTGTTTACTTAAAATAAGCTCCAATATCTTTCTGAAAAGTTACTTTTAAGTTTGTTTTGTCTTATTTCAAGTGTACTAATATATTGGCACTAGAAACTGAACTTCTTGGTATCAAGACTTTGATTTTGCAGTGCATTCTTCGGTACTAAGCTAATATGTTTTTCTTGACTGATTTAATTTTAAATGTGTAAAACAGCGTAAAAACCTGAAATCCCTCACACATTATTTTTTTCATCTTTAAGGAAAACACTGAAATAGTTTTTCCTACTTTTATTTTCTGATGTTTTGGTGAAAAATGGCAAGCTTCATTAAAATTCATCAGAGAAACTTTACTGCCATCTACTGGCAGTTCTAATTCTCTACAATCAAATGTCTGCAGTTTCTTTTCCCCTGCATTTGTTGACATTTACTGCATTTTTTTTTTTTTTTTTTTACAATTTCCAAACCTTTTTTACAGACTTGTTTTATTTAGAAATGGTAAAAATTAGCTAATTAAGAAACCAACACTGGCAAGTCTGTGTGTTTAGGTATGGTGTAAGGAGTAAATGATTTCATTAAAATGCACCATCTACAGTCCAAAATTCTTCATAAGCCCTGCTAGATTTAGATTTTAAATGTATTTTTGTTTGACCAAGAAATAATATAGCTTTAATTTAAACAAAGGAGTGTTAAAAATGATTTATGACACTTTCTCAGTAATAATAAAACATTTTTATTGGTATTTATATTAATCAATCCCTTATTATAATTGCCAACCAGCTTTCTGCATGTTTCAACTTGTCTTTTGATTATTTATTCTTGAAGGTCAAAGGTCTCCTCGTCATCACCTTAATTTTTAACTCCCTTCACAGATCATTCTATCAAATTCAAATATCGGTTTATGAACGAAATAGAAACGCTTATTTTGAAAATCACGAGTCATGTGATCAACAACCGGATGTTACTACTGGCGGAAATTAAATGACGCGTCATATTTTTAATAGCTTGTCGGGTGACCAAACTTATTAATCACGTGTGATAATAATTATGTTTCTTATGTAATGGAATTTCTGAATACAGTTACCACATGATGCCACATTTCCTGCTTCCGGTTACCCCGCCGCCATTGGAAGCAGCTTTCCACTTAATTGAAAACTGCGACGTTTGGATATTGTTGGATTCCAGGGTGTAAAAACCAACAGTAAAGAGGAATTTTCTTTACATCCAGTGAAGGTGAGCAAACTTTACTTCTAAATACTGAGTGTCTTGCTAATATCAGAATAACAGAAGTTGCGTAACAAGATGGCTCACTTCTGGTCCGGTCTTGTGGGAGCTACATTTCATTTCAAATGTACAAAAAAGTGTTGTTGATATTCCGCTAATGTCAAAAAAACGCAATTTTGCAATTGCATTTTTTTCCATTAGCGCAATTAAAATGAGTCATCAAAAAACATGCCATGCCATCATCCTCCAACCGCTTCCTGTCGTCGTCTTTGTCATTTCTGCCAGTAGTAACATCCTGTTGTTGATCACACGACTCACGTGATGCAACTTCAGCAAAATACTCATTTTTTTTGTGAGTAATTTGAGGGCAGAAACTTTTTTATTGAAAACGTGACTATTTGTTTCCATTAAACAAATTTATTTTCATAATTTCAATTTAAAGGTAAATGGAAGTGCAGCTTATGAGAGTTTAGCGCTCAACTGAGGAGATTAGGCAACTTGGAATGACATAACCTTTTTCAAAAACAAGTTATTGAATCCATTTCCCTCCTAATGAAACCGGAGCTTTGGTGGTTTTTTCTGGGTGGTCTTGTGATTATGTGGTTGCTGCTTTCTGTGCAGCTCCTTGATCAAAGTTTTCTTTGCTTTATTCATCACCATGTTGGCCTGAATCCAAAACATGTCGTCCATCTACAGCTCAGAAACTTCCTTTCATCATGTTCTGGCCTGGGCTGTGTGCAAGGCGTTCGCCATCTTACCCAGGTCATTATTTGGGTTGAGTCTGGTAGCATCTGGTGGTGATCAGAGCTGCGTAACCGCCATCTTAGTATTTACAACTAGGAAACGCTTTGGAGAAAATGGATACTGATGGTCCTTCCTACTTTCCTTCATTTCTTCTTTCCTTCATTCTTTCCTTTCTTTCTTTCTCTGTCCATTTCCTTTTTTAGTTTGTCAAAAAGCAAAACTCCGCCTATCGTTCTCATTTCACTTCTTACAGCAGCTCCTCCTAGTGGCCTGGAGTGACATTACACCCCATAACCCAACACAGAGGAATCAAACCGATTGATGGGTTTTCTAAGGTAAGCAGAGATCAAAAATGCTTACACTGGAAAAGAAAAGTAATTACAGTCAGAGGAACTTCTCCCTCTGTTATGAGTACCTGCAAACAAGATGGAGGTCAGAGTCCTGGGAGCAGTTTCACTCTCCGATGATGAGGCCCTTCAGGCGTCGCCATAAAAAGTGTCAACCTATTAGAGTAGAATAACGTTTCTGGCATGCGGCGGCCGCACGTAAAGCACAATTTGTTCAGATATATTAGTAATTCACCCACTCAGACTGACCTGCGCCTCCTGGGCTGACGGCGCTTCAATTATTCATCTGGAAGCAACTGCAGCTGCAAACATGGACGCCGTCATTCACTCTTCTCTTTCTTTCTTCCTTTCTTTGCTTCTTTGTTTCTTTCTTTCTTTCTTTCTTCCTCTATCCATTTGTTCCTTCCTTCTTTCCTTCCTTCCTTCCTTGCTTTCTTCCTTCCTCTCTCTTTTCCTTCCTTCCTCTCTCTTTTCTTTCCTTCCTTCCTTCCTTCCTTCCTTCCTTCCTTCCTTCCTTCCTTCCTTCCTTCCTTCCTTCCTTTCCTCCCTCGTTCATCTCTTGGTTTATTTTTCCTCCGCAGCGCCGTCTCGTTCCCTGAGGATAAACCAATTTACATTCTTATTTTCCTCCTCAGATCCATGCCAGTTTCCATGACAACATAGTTTCACTTTCTCATCCTTCTCTCTCTCACTGGCCCTCTCCCTCGCTCCTGCTCTCTCATTTCCCGCTGAGCCTTTCTTCTGTTCTCTTGACCTTCCTCCAGCATTTCATTCCTCCTTTTATTCCTCTCTGCTCGTTCTTCTGCCGGGTTAATCGACTCAGAGGGAGGAACTCTCATTGTCTCTCTACATTTTTCTCATAATAAACATAAAATTACTCAATATAATATGATCTGCGCAGCTAAAAAGTTTAGCATTTTCACTAAGCAAGATGAATCAGGCATAATTTATAATCTGTGAGGGTTTTCATGCTAAATTGGGAGATAATGACTTCACTCATTTGGTGCTAATAAACTCCTAAGCAACATAATTAGCTGTGCATAATGGCTGCTGGCAACAAGTGCAAAGAGGCTTTCCTATTTTTCTTTTTTTGGTGAAAGGAATCTTTTCTCTCTTTGTCAAACAGAAGGTGTTTCAGATCAGACTGATGATCTAAAACGAAGCTGCAGGCTCACAGCTACACTGCAAAACACAAAATCTTATCAGATATTTTTGGTCTGCTTTCTAGTGCAAATACCTGAGTAAACAAAAGTGACTTACAAGCAACTTCCCAGCATTATATGGGTCTTATTTTAAGTAAATATTTTTTTAATATCTGCGAAAATGTAGTAGTTATATTGTCAGATTATTTTACTTATAACAAGGGAAGAATGTCTTGTTGAAAGTAAAATAATCTGCCGGTGGAACTAGTTCTTTATTTTTATTAAGTAATTATTAACTTTAAACAAGCTCCATGTCTTGCTGAAAAGTTATTTGTAAGTTAGTTTTTTCAGCATTGTGCAGAATATATGTCAAATTAAATGAATTAGTTTATTTTTAGTCACAAAAATGTATTGTGTGAAGTTTTTAAGTCCACTGAACATCACTGATGTAAATATGTACTAAATTATATCACAATGCAACCCTTTCTTCTTATTGCTTAACTTTATTTTATGTCAGTGAATCGAGTTTGTGTTGTTTATTTTATTAATGAAGAAAATGATTTGATCACTGTAGATCATTTAGGAATAACGATGATCCTGATGTGGAAGTGTAAATATATTAAGCTAAATTTATTTGAAATAAATTACAAAAGGTGAGTTTTCTGCCCGACCACCAGGGGGAGCAAAAGAGCAAAGGTAAACTAGATCAGCTGGAACAACAATCATGGATTCCTCTCACCCCTAAGAAGCTGAGATTGTTGCAACTTGGTGCTTTTTGTGAACATTTTCTAACTTTCTCAAAACATCAAGATGACTCTGAGTATTTTTTAAAGTTTCCCAAATAAACTAGATGAGAGCAGGTGTGTTTTTTTAGTGCAGGAAGTAAAATAAAATAATTTGAAAAGTAATGACAAGTGGTTAAAACTTGGAAACAAATCAGTTTTTCAACAAAACTTTAATCAATATAAACATAAACTTTGATTTTAAAACAAAACCAAAGACCAAACTCAACTTTATTGAACTTTTATTGATTATTTGGTAAAATAATTATTGAGATTTATGCATGGTGCAACTGAAGATATTATAATTAATATTTTTAGCCTTCATGTTCTGTCTACTTTCTGGATTAATGGAAATCTCTCATAAAAGCAAACTTCTGTTTATATTCGCTTTATGCAGCTAATTTAGTGAATAAAACTGAATTATATTATGCAATATTTTTCAGCTTTATTTATAGATGTTTTAACATCCGTTTGATTAGTTATGTTTTTAATTTTAACATAAGTTAATAAAAGACTATCATGATTCATCAACAGAAAAAGCAGATATAAATACATTAATGATAAATTACAATAACTGATGCTTAAAGTACATTTGTGATTAGATTGTAAAACTCAATATATTTGTAAAAATATATATATGAAAAATACAAAATTACAACTTTCCTCCTTAAAAATTTTGTATTTTCTACAATATGCAATGAAATATTTATTTAAAATGGTGAATGTGCCTGATTTCATTGACATTTCTCCTGAAATGTATAATTTGTGGATTTCTTTCATAACTTCTAAGCACAAACACAGAATCGCCATTTCTAAAATTAGCATCAAAATGTTGTGGAACCAGTTAATCTGGACAACATGAGTTTATGTCACCTTTTGATCAGAATTGCGTTTCACTTTAGGAAACGTTACAAGGAGAAAATGAAGAACTTAGTCAGCCATATTGCATGAGATTATTGATTCTTTAGTCGCTTTTTGTATCATATTAAATATGCAGATGTACTGAGGAGCCAATCCTTTCTGTGATTTATAAACTAATAATATTTTATTCTCTGAGCTACAAAGATAAACAACTGGATGTGATTCTCTAGATCTTAGTGAAACCTTAGTCTTTTAATCCTGAAAATGCTCTTTAGGTGATAGAAGGCTGACTTTGTAACTGACTTTATGTGGCTCTGAAGGCTCAGGTCAGAGTTCATCACTACACCCAGATTTCAAATGGATCCCCGCCCCACTTTGAACGCATTTGGTATAAAGAGAGACAATTAAAGGATAAAACTTTTGAAACTCCATGTTTTCCATGTTTTTGTGGAAGATTTCTGAGATTAACCTCAATTTTTTTTTCTAGCAAATTTTTGACTTTTTAAGCTCAGAAATGTTCTTTTGGAAAATTTCAGATTTTTTTTCTAGTAGAGTTTAAATCTTTAGACTCAGAAATTTCCTTATTTTTTAACTGGAAAATTTAATTTTTTGTGCAAATTTTCAACTTTTCAAATCAGAAATTTCCGAGTTTTATTCTAGCTTTTTTTGTTGAGTTTTTAAGATCAGATTTTTTTTCTGAGATTAATCTCAAAATTTAAATTTTTTCTAGCAAAGTTTCAACTTTTAAAACTCATAAATTTCCTTTTTTTTCTGGAGAATTTCTGATTTTATTTCACAATTTTTTGATTTTTCATATCAAAAATTTCTGAGTTTTTTTCTAGAAACTTTCTGAGATTAACCTAAAAATATCAGATTTTTTTTTCTGTAGAACATTTTCAACTTTTCTGGTCAAATCAGAAATTTCCCAGTTTTTTCTAGAAAATCTCTGAGACAAATCTCATATTTTCTCAGTTTTTATGGCAGAAGTTCACTCGTCCATTTTTTTTTTCTATGTAATTGGCCGCCGTCCACCAGACATTTTAAACCTGACAGAAAGAGTGATATGCGGAGTGCAGTTTTCGGTGACTGGATGTCAGCAGAGTGACATACGGATGCCCGTGTGGCCACACTGATTATTGTCAGCGGCTGGGAGTGATACGGACTCGTCCTGCCCTTCCACATCTTGAACAGTGGGAGTCATGAACCGCTGCAAGGTGACGCGTCCTCTGATTTCAAGCGAAACTTCAGCGCAGACATGCCGATGTTATTAATCACCATCTGCACCACGCTGTGATCGCCAAGCAGCAGCTCCTTTTTTTTTCTTTCTTATCAAGCGACAGGATCGGGACCATCTGTGCGCAGTGATACCGAGAGCGGCGGCGGCAGCAGCAGCGGCGGCCACTCCGGGGAATGTGGACCGAACCCGGGGCCGTTGAGTCCCGACATGATCGGCCTCTTCTGAACCCAGACAGCCGCCGAATGTGGTAGGAGCACCGCCGCATTTCTCAACACTGTCACCGCCGGAGCCTGTTGGGTTTCGTAACCGCCCGTTTGTACGTGTTGAAGCGCGTAACTTTCTTCCTGAGCCCGAAAAAAAAAAAAAAAAAAAAGTTGAAATCCCATTAGCTAGCGCCGCTTCGCCTTGCAGATGTGCGCGCGCGTGTGTGTGTGTGTGGAAGACGGGGCTACGGCGACGTCAGCCTAGCGGAGACATGAATTAGCATGCTAAGTTAGCTCCGTGGGTCTGGCTGGCGCAGCGGGGCTCCACTCAGCAGGGGCCGTGGGGTTCACGTCAGGGGCATGTGTCCTCAAATTCTCCCGGTGGGAACGCCGTGCCAGTTCGAACCTCACCGCTTCCAGTCTGCGGAGAAGGAGCAAAGGGGTGTTTTGAATCCAGATGTGCCCTCTTCCAATGTTAGCTTGTCAGCTAGCTGATGGGAGCAGCGGCGTTTAAGCAGCCGAAGCTGAGCAGGTGACATACTGTGGGTATGTGGAAACAGCTGCAGCTTTCACAACACCCCTTAATGCTGTAGAGGAGAGAAAATGTGCATTTACTTTAAATAATGTAATAAAAACACAAACCGGTGTGAAAAAGAAAGTACACCCACTTTAAATGATATGATTCAACATATCAGCTGAGGTGGGCAGAGTACCCAAACATTATACTCAAATCAGAGTAGCACTACTTCTACATATTTTTACTCGGTAGCCATCCAAGAAATTATTCAAGAGTAAAAAAATAAGATCTGGTAAAAAGTCTGCTCAAGTACTGAGTAACTGATCAAATTATCAATCATTTAATATTTAAAAAGTATATCATGAGACTGGACCAAATTATAAAGTTAAGTGGAAATTTTGGTATTTTAAAGGTGAAAATGACAATAATTCATGTAAGTAACAAAAAATAAAAATCAGGCAAAAGTAAACTTTTCCAATTCAGTTTCTTTCTTTCAGTAAAAAACAGATGAAACTTTAACAAAAACTGCAGGTGTGTGTCTGCGTCTGGTGAATTTTTGGTTAAAACATGTTTGTTTTTCATTCAGTGGGTAGAAAGTCCAGAAATTTTACTCAAATAAGAGTAGAAATACTTCATGATAAAATTACTAAAGTAAAAAGTACATTAGTACTAAAAATACTGCTAAAGTAAATAATAAAAAAAAAAACTAAGGTAATTAGCTACTGCCCAACTGTGCATATCAGGATGCTCATCAATTTAACCTCAAATCACAAAAGCCCCATAACCTATGGAAGCACAATGCTGCCAAACCTAGCGAATAAATATAGCAGTGGTATGGTTTTACAATGAGAAACCCTCTAATTTTAAGCAGATCAAAAACTTGTTATAATGAGAAACTCTCTCATTCTAGTGAAGCTTAAATTAATTAATTCATTCAGTTGACCAGATGGAGAGCGAGTGAGCGACATTGTTGTCTTCCAGAGGAATTTAAAGCGTGAAACTTTGTCGTTCCACATCTCGTTTAAATGAGGGTTTCTCATCTTAAGTTCTGCTTTTTTTTAAACGAGAAGGTTGCTTGTCTTAAATGGTTTTGCATTTTGTTGTTACAAGAAGGTTCTTGAGTTCTGCATTTTAACGAGGTTTTTAATATTAACGTAAAAGTTTTGCATTTTACCAAGTTTTTGTCGTGTCATTTTAACAAGTTTTAAGGAGGTTTCTTGTCTTACCAAGTTTTGCATTTTGATTTAAGAAGGACTTACTGGGGCAAGCAGTGACCTGACGCTTTGTTTTAAATTATTTTAAATGAGCATCAGCAGTTAGAAGGGGGGAAGACATTAGCAATTAGCAACCTGATGCTGGTTCTCTTAATTTCTGGGATTATTCTGGAACATCTGGAGGTTATTGTGCAAAGTGGAATTTATCAAAAACATAAAAAAAAAACATTTACAACCCGTAGCATCAACATGATTTCTTTAGTCAGAGGCTTCTTCCAAATAGCTGTAATACAGACTGCTACAGGAGATCATTCTATCGGCATCTACAACAGCTCTTTAAAGGAAATTATATGAGTTACAATATTTAATTTTCCTGTAGGATTAATTAAAGTATCATAGAACTGAATCAGGAAACAACAACCTGGGAGAATTTTCAAATTCCAAAAGATTTTTTAAAACTGGGAAAACATTTAAGATTATTTCTGTTCTTCCCAAAGCTGCATCTCAGACTGTCTCTATTAGCATTTAGCACGCTATACTTATGCTTTCCTGAAACAATATGGCTGCATGACTTATGTTTGCATTTAAACAAACTTGAAAAAGATATGCTCAGAGAGAGAACTTGTAGCAGCTGTGAAGCACGGTAGTGGGAGGTTTATGATCTGGGCTTCTTTGAAATAATTGAAAAATGTAATTTTTTTCTAATTTGGCTAATCAAATAAAGGAACATGTGATTTTTATATTAATCTTCCAGTCATTAAACACTTAAAATCAATCATTCTCACATTTCCTGGTATATAAAGAATGCACCATTTCGTGTAGTTTGATGCACATTTCCTCATTTTAATTAAAACTCGGTTAAAGACGAGGCTTTAAATCACTTTATACTGGCTTTAAAGAAGCGGCTGGACTCATTCTTTGCACTGATTGCAGTTCTCAGGCCGATCACTGACCTTTAAAAAACCTGACCTACTAATTTTCATTTTGAGTCACCTGTTATGATGCTTTAATATTTATTTAATTTTTAATATTTAGGAACTGAAAATGTTTCTGTTCTTAAGATCTTATGATATTTTAAAATGAGTTTTTATTGTTTTTAGATTGGATAATGCTTTTATTGTCATTTTGCTGCACTTTGAGATTTACATGTAAAGTCCATTCTAAATAAAATTTATTATTATTTAAGAACAGTTGAAGAATGTTAACACTTTTTAAAATCTATTTTGAATCAACTTTACTTCTATATATTTTGTCTTTCCAAAGATCTGTTTGCTTTTTAGGCTTGTAGAGATTTGATTGTTAAAATAAATAAATTTTCATTGCTATTGGTAGAAAAAATTAAGTATTTTTTAAAGGAGGAGTGCACTGATTGCAGTTTTATGGCAAACTGATGCCTATTTATTTATTGTTTCTAAGTTTATCGATTAGTTGGGTGACTACAGACACACAGACCTAATTTTTAGACTTTTTCGGTTTCTCAGCAAGTATCGGCCGATTTCCAAAATGAAGAAAATCGGTCCGTTTTATTTGTGAACTCCCAGTTATAGCCATTATAAATCAGTATTGGTAAAGAAAAGCCAATTGGTTAATCTCTAATGTTTGCTATAAATTCATCCTAAAAATATTCAACAAGTAATTTTTATACATATTTTTAATCATATTGACAATACAGCCTGAAAACTGCACTAAAAATGCATCAGAAACGTAAAATGTAGAAACCGTGATGTGATTAAAGCTCTATTACAGCTGCAGATATATTTGCACAGCAAAGTGCTTACGTGTTGCTTCTGAAAACTGGTGTCATGTTTATTTAAGGCCGCTCTTTTCCTGTTACTGTCTTCCTCTGTGTTTTTATTTATTTATGCTGGGCCTCTGCCACTGGCCTGTTGAATGCACCCATGCTTTACTTACACAGGTTTGTCTCGAGCGTGCTTTCTCTCCTTCTGCACAGCCTTTCTGTATGTGTGTATCAATAATATCCTGCAGAACTATATTTAGCTCCTAACAGAGTTTGCAACTTGATCCAAATTGTCTCTCAGGGCTGCTGAGAGCTCTACGTTTCTTTCCTCTGGAGGTGAAACGTCTCACTTTCTAAGAGCTGCGAGCATCTTCCTGTTTTCTTTTTATTCTTGCTGCATAAAAGTGCAACTGAACAGCTACTTGTAGCCACGTTTTTAAGTACTTTTAAGGACAAATCAGACGTGAAATTATCATTTTGTGCTAAAAATGTATATATTTGTGTCTTTTAAAAGCAGCTGCTGTTGCATCCACACAGATTTGTCGAGCTGCTGACAAAGTGATTCTTATCTGGTTAGGTGATCTGAGAACTTTGGGGTGAGTTACAGGGAGTGTCGCTAAGGTGAGCTATGAAAGAATAATGCGATACTGAGAATGCCTCCATGCCCAGGCATTGAAGTTTGAGTCCATGAAATAAAAAGCAGGGCCTCAGGGCGAATTCCCCAAAACATAAAGCCGATCCGACTGTGACACCTGCATTGTGTCGCATATTTTCATACCACTGCTGTTGTGCTTATATTTTGCATGTTTTGCATACAGAGCAGCCAACGGAAACTGCTCCGCCAAAAACGTACAAAAGCTGCTGATGTCTTTATGAACAGCAGACAGATTCAGAGCCCAGGCTGGCTCCTGAACTTGATTTTGTAAGGTTGGGTGAGAATGATGCAAATTTGAGCGACGATGACTCCTGGAAACACGTCAGAGGATTAGAGCCACTGGAAAAAAAATAGTAAAACATTTTTGTTCTCAGAATTTGGACTTTACTCTTCCGCATTTAAGTCAGAATTTTGAGAAGAAATGTCAAAATTCTGACAAAAAGGCAAAATGTTGAGAAAAGTCAAAATTAAAAAGTCAGATTTTTGACAAAAATGTCAGATTTTTGAGAAAAAAGTCCTTAAAAATCTGAATTGAGAGAAAAATGTCAGAATTGAGAGACAAAAAGTCGCAATTAAGAGGGAACTAAAGTCTGATTTGAGAGGGAAAAACAATAAAAATTTTGGGGGAAAGTTAAATTAAAAGTCAGTTTTCTTAGAAAAAGTCAGGATTCTGAAATTATAATCATAATTCTGGGGGAAAAAAAAGTCAATTTTGAGATAAATTTAAAAAATGTGAATTTTGTTCAAGAACTACATTTGTTTGTGGCACTTTGAATGCTGTGCCATGCTTTCACAACCATACAGTTACCTAAAAAATAAGTAATTGTTTTTCTTTTTAATAACAATCTTTATTGTTATCACAATAGAACCACAAATTATCCGATAAAATTCCGATATCGTCCAGCCTTACTGAGAGACGA